ACATTTTTAACATTTTTTTCACATGCTCTCATTTAACATTTTAATCTTTAAGCAGGCCTCTGTCAGTTCACACTGATACAGGGCAATAAAAATAACATTATGGTAATTAGGCCTACATTTTTTACTTTTTTTTGGAAGTCTAAACCTTGCGGTGTCTGCGTAGAAAAATTCTCACCCTTGGACAAATGTAGTTGAGGACCCCTTCTCTACAGTATATGGTTATGAAGTAATTTCCCTTCATGTTCAATCCTTGCAATGTCTTATGACCTGTCTTTGGTCACTAATCATATTATACCTTACACAGAGCTAGGAACACAGACACTGGGGAACGCTGCACAAACAAGGAGGAGGGTTGTGTCTAAAATACACATTCACTGTGCTCTAAACTAGTGTCTCAGATGTCTCAGCTATTCTTGGAGTATGACCAGGACATATGACCATCTGCTGTTGCATGACATTCATATAGTGTAGATGTTACAATCCAGAACCTATGTTAAGATCATCTTTCTTATAAGATTAAATAAAATTACTAATGGTTGTAATGTCTACAACTAATTTTTAATAGTTTTTTTGTCAAATGTAAATTGGAGTAATATTTATAATGTTGTAGCATGAAAATTGAGTTTTGTAGTACATTTATAATGCAGGTTTCAGTTCATCAGCCAACATGAGTTGGCGTTAGACGGTAAAAATCATCTAAATTGAAATGATGAAGAACAGTGTTTAGAATATCCCCAGTGACTCACTGTTGTACCATGCCCCATGTGCCTAATGAAATATAACATGTTAACTGCTTCAGATAAAATACTGTTCATTCATGTGTGGCTCAAAAGTAAAGTGGGGAGTGAAATCTAATTGATTTGTTTCAGCTCAATGTCTTAATGCTCCACTTCTCACATAAATATCTAACACCTATGGATCTCATTCATAAAAACAGAGGAAGGTGAGGAGCACCAAGAGCGTTACATTTACATAACAAAAACACTGTCTTACAGTCAATGTCATCCACCTTTTACACAGTAGAAAAGTTTCCTGGAGCCACAGTCTCAACATAACCAAACACAAGCCGACCAAATTAGGCACAACATCAACAAGTGATTCTCGCTGAGCCTGGGCCTTTAAGGTTTCCCCGCACTGTGCTGCCATCAGCCGAGGCTGAACTAAAGGGAACATTAATGAACATTAGGAGAGAAAGGCCTGTTCTTCCACAGGAACAGTCCTGTGTTTGTGAGGTCACAGAAGTTACCGTGGTTACTCCCAGGAGGGAGCGAAGACCGTGCGTTTGTTAATTGTTTCGCGGTGGGGAAATGAGATTAGTCGCTGAATGGTGATGTGAGAGAGTTTTCAAAGAGCCATGCTGCATTAAGTTTGAATTCACTAGCACCCCATACTATCCTGTGGGTGCTAGGGTCCTGTGCTGCACTACAAACTAGTTTCATAATGCACATTTCACTGCATTGTCAGTGAAGAATCTTACATGTGTAAATCCCCATGTAGTCCATGAGTAAAACTACCGTGTCTTATTTTCACATTAAACCTAAACATACAGTACGATGGGCTTTTATAGGCCACAGAAAGTGATAAAGGCCTTGCATTATTATACCGCTTTACGTATACTTACCTATGCTTACTCTATATTTACCAACAATGTAACTTTTTATTGTTGACCTACAGTATTCAGAATGCAGTGGTAGAAAGTATTTTTACTCAATTTCTATGTACAGTTCTGGGATACTTCTACTTTGAGTATATAATTTTTATGCAACTTTTTTACTACCGCACTCCATTTTAGGTGGAACTAATGTACTTTACTACATTTAGCGTGCTAGTTATATTTCAGTTTTACAGAAAATAAACGCAACCACATACTGTAAGCTTTACAGTTAAGTTTGTCTCAGTCTGCTTGGGGATCCCTGACACTTTTCAGATGTCTATAATTTGTTAGCAGTTCACTCAGAAAGCAACAGAACCTTAAAACAATTGGATTTTAACAAATCTGCAGGTTCTGATGAGCTTGATCATTATTTTCTCAATATAGCTGCTGACTTTATAGCACAACCTCTGACTTATATTTTTAACCTTGCGTTTTTCAACAGTGATATTCCTAATATATGGAAATCTGCCTATGTTCTTCCACTGTTGAAAAAGGGGATCCTTCATTTCTTAATAATTACAGACCAATCTCTACATTGTGTGTCTTAGCTAAGGTTCCTGAAAAGCTTGTATTGAATGAATAAGATACTGAAAGTTTAAGTAAACCTTATGTTATACCACAGCTGTCCACTGTGAATCCCCAGCAAACAGTACAAAGGAATAGAGTTACTGAAGTGTGGTATGAACGTTTAGGACTGAAAGACTTGGTGTACTTTTACAGTGTTAAATCATGATTCAAAGACTTGGTGTACTTTTACAGTGTTAAGTCATGATTCATGAAGGCAGGGGCCCTGACGACCCGATCTCTGGACACGGAGACTAGCCCTGGGGACATGGAATGTCACCTCGCTGGTGGGGAAGTAGCCCGAGCTTGTGCAGGAGGTTGAGAGGTACCGGCTAGATATAGTCGGGCTCACCTCCACACATAGCTTGGGCTCTGTAATCTTACTCTTCGAGAGTGGCTGGACTCTCTACTACTCTGGAGTTGCCCACGGTGAGAGGCGGCGGGCTGGTGTGGGCTTGCTCATAGCTTCCCAGCTTAG